GAAAAACTCAAGTTCCCAAATACCGGCCGTACGCGAACCAAAACAAAGTCGAGCGGAGCGGCCTTCACTCGGCATCACGTACCGCAATCATGGAACCAAAATTCCAGTGCCGCGAAATAATAATTCAAAAATCCGATCAAACATATAATTAACACAAGAGCACATAAAAAATCATAGGGAAACACATAAACATAATGATAGCACAAAATAAATTCACTTGCGCACGCTCTCTCTCCCGATTTTCTTTGATTGGTATTAAATTTTCGGGCGAGAGGCCCCACGTTGGGCGCCAAAATTTGTGACGACGACGACGATGTCCTCACGGTCTCGCCAGCCGTGAAGGAGCGCGCCGTCGCTTTCTTCACTAAAGATCTCTTTATGATTCGCGATATTCCTCTCCGAAACCCAGATGGTAGCTCGACTGAGTATTTTTATGATGTAAATGTTGGGCGCCAAGTGCGATTCCTCGCACCACGTTACACGAGATCGGAGTATTCTCAGGCGTAGGCTTCTTTGATTAATCGCGGTTGGAATAGGAGAGGGAGCGTAGCGCAATCAACACACTCGAGTAACAAGGAACATAAAATTATATTTCATTGTAATGCAGATAACAAGTGGAAGGTAAGAGTGTTCCACGGCGAACAAGCAGAATTCGAGCACGCGCCACGTGTCACCCCACGAGCGCGATACTCATTCCGTCGCTGAACTGCACGGCAATCCCGGTCGAATTCGTACAAGACTATTCCCCGACATAAATTGCAGCGAATTCTACCCGGACAGTCAAACGCGAAATACTCGAACGTCTACTTCTAACAATTAGCGCAACTTTCTTACAATCTACCGCGACAACGCTGGGGATCTTCACTCCCGAGACGCACGAATGGCCTCACCCGTAAACGCGACACAACCGTGGGCCATTAATCCCGATGAAACGCACGGATATCCAATTACAAATGGCACGAACTTAACCGGCAACGATAACTACAAGGCTCTCACACGCGCGAGAGCCACCTCCCGAAACTACGGCACGATTAAGCCAACGACGATTACAAAATTACACGCGACGAAATTACACGCAACGAAATTACACGCAACGAAATGACACGAAACGAAACCCCAAGCACGCTGACTGTTGGCGGCCGTCCGTTCCCATCCCCGAGACGGGCACTTGCGATCACTTTTTTGCCCGGGCCCTCCCGCGGTATGGCACTCGGTATGATTCAGTTACGGCTGATTTCATTTATTCTCGCGGCACAACGCGACTCCCGGGAGGGCCTTGATATTACCGCGATCTTACTTTGGGGAGGGTGAGCAGTGGCCTTACAAATTCTCCTCGTTCCGGCAGCTCGTCGTTCGGCTCGCAGGGCTGGATGTTACCGGGATGGCGGCTCGCACGACAGTGGCGTTCCTTCGGCCCGGCGGGACCACGCTGGGCCCGCGCGCGCCCGCGCGCGCCGGTTTTCCTAGCCTGGTCGGTGCTGTGCCCTGGCCTGCCAGCTATCCCTCTAGGCGATCGCCGCGCCTTGCGAGAGCGCCCCTCGCATCTGCTGTCGTCCGCCGGCGGTAGTTTGAAAGCCCGCCCGTGTGAGACCGGTTGTCCAGGCCGCGACTCATCATCCGGTTATTCGGCGGCCAGGCTGGACGGGCCATGGCTCGTCGACCGGTGGCGGTTTCCCGGGGGTGACCCCGTTCCTCGACGGGGACCTTTGTCGGGGCGTCCCCTCTCTCGGGTCCTCCGTTTCCGGGCTGCAGTGCTGTTGTGCGGGCTATGTGGGTGCTTTGACAGGCCAGCGGCTGTTCCGGCTGTGGGCTCCAGCGTGACCCGTCCGTCGACCGTCCGTCCTTGAGCTCCCTGCTGTCCAGCCGTACGTCCCTCGGTGCAGCATACGCCGTTACAACTCCGTGACCCTGGCCATCTGCTCCGCGCTCCCTCGACCTGTAACGCTCGCAACAGATCTTAATCCTAACCTAAATGTTCGCTCTCCGCCCGCCCCGGGCGGAGGCACCATCCCTGACGCCTCCCTCGGCCGAGCTTCCATCTGGGGTGAGGGACGTGACATTTGTCACGTCACAATACATACAATATTTACATTTATTTAAAAGAGGAAAAGAAATTATCATGCTTCTCTGCAAGTAGTCAGTGTGTCACATTAAACAGTAAGACATTCTCCGTGATATACTGTATTAGTGCGGGTAGTGCGGATATAATGGTAGGTCGATGGCAATATTGTGATTCGGTTAAATATCACTGTAAGACTATAAGTAAGGGTAGAATACAGTGCGAACATTGTCCATCAATTTCAAGAGATAAAATATCGTTAGAATCTCACTTATTTCACATACATAAAATATATACCACCAAAGGCAACTTTATATGGAGAGACGAATCCATCAGCATTCCAGATCGGTACTTCACACACGAACAATGCAAGTACATTGCAAAGTGTAAAGTTTGTAAAAGAGTGTTTAAGGTATTTAAAAGGGATGATATGCTGAAGCATTTGCAATTACATCGACAAATAGTCGATTACATACACGGAGAAATAACAAGCAGTTGGATCTCATACGGTCAACATTATACGGTCAACTCCGAAAAACCTACTTGCAATCATTGCAATAATTGGTCGCAAAAGACAATTCACGGCCTAAATTATTTTAAAAAACACTTAATTGAGCATCATCAGATAAGCGAACCTGGTAGGGGAATCATATCTGTAGATGCAACGATACAACAGCCTGCTATAGCTGAAAATTATGCATCTACAAGTTCCCAGGATGGGTAAGTGACAAATATTAGTTTTTTTTCTGAGTAATTATTTTAGTGCTTGCAATTCCGCGCCGTTTTTAGTCCCGCGGGATTAATGCGAAATTGTTTTTAAAAATATTATTTTCTTAAGACATTGCCAAATCTCGCGGGACTTCGCAAAATTGAAAACAATCTCGCGGGATCCCGCAAAATTTGGCAGTCTTAAAAAAATATTTTTGAAAAAATCATTAAAAAATTTTAAGTTTGATAATTTGATTAATTAAAAAATTATTTTTTATTTTAATAAATTTGTAACTTTAATTTCTTAAATTAAATAATTTTCTATTTTTTATTTTATATTGAACATTTAATAATACTAACTTACTAGGTTCAACCGTTCAATTAAAAGCTTAATTTTTATATGATAAATCGGTCTTAAACATTTTTGTGCAATTTTGAAATTAATTTAATGTATCGGAACTGTCGGATAAATAATGTATTTTGTTTTAGTATAGTACAATTGTTTTATTTTAACTATGTTTAGTTTTGTATGAAAAATTAATATTGTTTTCAATTAATTATCTACAGATTAAATATTTTGTTCGTTTATGCCGATACGTTTTATCTATTTCTTCGGGATCCCGCGAAATTTGGCAATGTCTTAAGAAAATAATATTTTTTACATAAATAATTAACTTTATTTTGATAAATATAATTATTTAACATGTAAACATTACTGAGATTTTGTTTTATATTGTTACACATTACTTTATAATATAATAACATTTATAAGTAGGTTTTCAAAAATATTATAAGATACATGGTACATAATAATGTATCATACATTATTAATAACATTTTTCAATCCGAATAATGTGATATGAAAAAATAGATAAAACGTATCGGCATAAACGAACAAAATATTTAATCTGTAAATAATTAACTAAAAACAATATTAATTTTTCATACAAAACTAAACATAATTAAAATAAAACATAATTGTACTATAATAAAACAAAATATATTATTTATCCGACAGTTTCGATACATTAAATTAATTTCAAAATTGCACAAAAATGTTTAAGACCGATTTATCATATAAAAATTAAGCTTTCAATTGAACGGTTGAACTTAGTAAGTTAGTAGCAGGGCAAAAAACATGTTTTTTTTATTTTAAACAAAAAAACATTGTTTTTTTTGTTTAAAACAATGTTTTATGTTTTATTTGTGTTTTAAACTAAGGTATAAAGGAAACATGTTTTAAACAAAAAAAAACATGTTTTAAACAAGCAAAAAAAAACACTTGATAGCTTTGATGTTTGACGACTTTGGCCGCGTTCAGCAGACACAACTGTTGAGTTCGTCTTATCAACACTCTGCGTTGATTGGTTGGTTCTAAAAGTAAGAGCCAATCACGTTCGACTGCTACTCAGCGGCTTGGTCTTCTGAACGCGACCTTTGACGACATCTCTATTGGATAGCGCTGCGTCTCCGGCTACACGCAACGCACAGCAACGTACCTTTACATCTGAGTTGTATAGCGGGACATATAGAAGTCTGTAGAAAATTATTGCAACTTGATAGCAGGCGAATTGACGATCGAGATATCGGTGGCAGAAGAGCCTTACATTTGGTAGCCTCTCTGTGTATGTATAGAGGTTAAATTGACACGTGGACTGTACGTGTCGATTGACGCGCGAAATATCGGTGGCAGAACAGAACAGCCTTACATTTGGCAGCCTCTTTATGTATGTGTTATGTTATATGTATCATTACGTTTAATCCGTCGAGGTTCACGTCATCGAGGATAACGTGCAGGTGCTCCTACCTGCTGCAAATTTATTACAACTAATGAACGTACGAGACGCCTGTAGCGATTTCCTACAAGCTCAATTGCATCCGTATAATTGTCTCGGTATTAGGGCGTTTGCCGATTTGCATAAATGTCTCGAGTTGTTGACGCACGCAGACAGTTACATCGAGCAGCATTTTTCGTAAGTCGCATCTCGAGTCCCGATCCATTCATTCAGATTGTATTATGCGGTATTAATTGTTAATTGTATTAATTGCATTTTTTAACATCGATTGTAGAGAAGTGGTTGATGCGGAAGAATTTTTAACTCTGGCACCCAAACAAGTGGCTAAACTTATCTGCAGCGACCGCTTAATGCTACCTTCCGAGGAGAAAGTATACGAATGCGTTATCTGTTTTCGCCGGACGCGTATACGCTGTCGGTAGATTTAATGGATCACTGAGAGTACGAACGGTTGATATTTACTACATAGTACATATAGTACATTACATATCTACATATAGTACATATTGCATGTTGCATACTGCAACTCAACACGAAATAGGTACGTGGCGATAATGAAAATGCAGGTGTTGTTATTGTTGTTAGGTTAGGTTTTTAATTGTACATATATCTATAATGCTGCAATGTTGCAATTGTAATTTAAAGTACTATTTGATTATTTTCAATATTTTACTTATATTATACATTCTCGATCACATTCTTTCAGTTCTTAACAAATACAAAATGACGGGAAGGAAAAAAGATCCAATATAGTGTCATTTCCATGAAATTAAAGAACCCAACAAACTTAACAAAGCAAGATGTAGAAAATGCGATTTGAATATGGTAGGATTGGTCGCTAGAATGAAGGCACATGTGAAGAAATGTAACTCCACATTAGTTGATGACGTTGATGTCGTTGATGAAGAACATGAAGATAGCGCTTCTGATAGCAGCAGCATCGCCAGCATCCGTTCCCGGTCCCCGTCTCGTATAAGTTAGTACATAACATACTACATAGTATACATAATACATATTATATGGCATATTCTATTTGCTGTTTTATATGGTTTGGTATCATTAAAGCATTAAACATTAAACATTGACTACCTATATAGTAATTTTCGCATAACTTTTGACTTTTCTTTTGACTTTTGACTGACAGTTTTGAATATTTTGTTTACAGCGACAGATACGTCAGATACAGTCGCACATGCTTCATCATCAACATCAAGACCTACAATATCTACGCTAACAAAGTCTAAATTGAGGTCAAGAGATATGGAATCATTTATTTACGCTACAAACTCGGCCTTCAGACATGTAGAACACCCAGAATTCATAAAATTAATAAACTTGTTGCATCCTGAATATAAACCGCCTTTAAGACGTCAAATCGCAAACAAACTATTAAATGAAGTATTTGATTCAGAGTTGGCAAAAATAAAAGACTGTTTAAATGGAAAAACTGTATGTATGGCTCAGGATGGATGGAGTAATATTCACAATGATTCAATAGTGTGCATAGCAGCGACAGATATCATTGAGGAAACTGTGCATTTGTGCGATATTATTGATGCTGAAGGTAATAGCCATACCGCGGAGTATTTGCTAAATTTGGCAGTACTTTCAATCAAAAGTTGCCAAAAACATGGTTGCAAAGTGAGAAGCTTTGTAACTGACAATGCAGCAAATATGCGTAAAATGAGAGAACAATTGGCAACGTGTGAAGAACTTGGCATGCCTGACATTATTACTTATGGATGCTTCGCACATATTTTAAATCTTCTTGCACACGACATTGAGATTCCAGGAATCAAAGGACACGTAAAAAAAATTATGAAATACTTTCGAAACACACATTTCGCCGCTGCTAAGTATAAAGAAGCAGGTGGAAAAGCTTTAGTAATGCCACAAGATGTTCGATGGGATACCTTGGCCGATTGTCTGGAGTCATACATTAGTAACTGGCATATTTTGTCTAAAGTTTGCACTGATAATCGAGTAGCAATTAGCTCGGATATTTCATCCAAAGTTAACGATACGGATTTAAAAATCAAAGCAACGGATTATTTGGAAAAACTAAAAATAATTTCAGTTGCTTTAGACAAAATTCAACGAGATTGCTGTATAATTGGTGAAGCCACAGAAATTTGGATAGAAATAATAAAGAGAATTTTAAAGAGAACATTTTTTTGGAGTCCGATCTTGATTGTGTTCTGCAGCGTTTCAAAATGACAATGACGCCTGCACATTATTTAGCAAATTTGCTAGATCATCGATTTAGAGGACTTCAGTTAAGCGAAGAACAAATAGATGAAGCAATGGAATACGTCAATTCGTACCACCCTGCAGCTATGCCTGACGTAATGTCTTATCGAGCAAAAACTTCTCCGTTCAAAAATTATCTTTTTTCTGAGGAATCTATTAATAATGTTAAGCCGATAACATGATGGCTTGCGCTAAAAAATAATGTCAATATTGTAACGTTTGACTTGGTAACACAACTCCATACAGCAATTGCTTCTTCTGCTGGCATGGAAAGGCTGTTCTCAGCTTTTGGTTTAGTGCACACAAAACTGAGAAACAGATTAGGCGTAGAAAAAGCTTCAAAATTAGTAACAATTTTGAAGGCACTCAACAAAAAAGGTGAAGTTAATCAAACTGAACGTGAGATTGAGACTGAGTTTGTATAAGTATAATTAATATTAATAATTATAAACTGATCTTTTAAAAAAGTATTTTTTAGTTGAGTAATACAGTAATAAAAAAAACCAAAAAACTACTATTCTATTCTTTATTTTTATTAGTATATATAAAACTATATTTGATGCAATGACTGCAATGCAATTGCAATATGTAAGCGTTACCAATAATTTTTTCATTTTTTGTATTTAAATGTTTAGTAATATGCTGTCTACTCCCTCGTCTGTGTACGGAATTTTTGATTAGGCCAATATATAACAATTTTAGAAATTCCATTGTCAGTACTTGTTTTAGTTTAGGTATTTTATATATTACACTTGGTGCGGATACTGCGGATTAAAATACAGTTCTGTGCAGCAATAATGTTAATTATGCGTTGTCATCATGAAAGCCATTAAATTCAGAGATAGATCAGTGTAATTGCCGTTTTGTCATCTCAAAAGCTCACCAAATACCGTTACTTCTTTTTTCACTTTTTTATAGTTTGTAGCTTTTAGATTTTAGATAAAAAGGAAAGCATTGTGATGACTAAAAAATAAAAAATGTAAAGTCATTCAATATCTAATCTAGTCTACTAAGTTAAGTAGTCTTTATTTACTTTATTAGTTTATTGTGATGACTGTTATTTAATTTAATATCGAAAAATAAATATTCTGCTAAAAGCTAAGATAATAGAATAATACCCATCTTATCATTTTTAATTTTTATTTCAATATATCTTTAAATCCTTATATTTATATGCTAAGCTACAAGCTACACAATATAGATAAAAAACAAAAAACTAAATAAAAGTTTTGTTTTTGTTGTTTTTTTTGCAATTTTTTCTAAATAATTACATGTTTTTAATTGCAGTGTTTTAAACAGTTTTAAACAGTAGTTTAAAACTGTTTAAAACAAAACTGTTTAAAACAGTGTCTACTGTTTTAAATCAGTTTTAATCAGACAGTTTTAAACAAATTGTTTAAAACATGCCAACCCTGGTTAGTATTATTAAATGTTCAATATAAAATAAAAAATAGAAAATTATTTAATTTAAGAAATTAAAGTTACAAATTTATTAAAATAAGAAATAATTTTTTAATTAATCAAATTATCAAACTTGAAATTTTTTTATAATGTAGAATTTTGGAAATATGGTCTTAAAAAGCATCTGTTGTACATATCTATAATCTATTCTGCAATCTTTGTATACCGCTGCTATCATAGCCGCGCCCGCAATCTTTTGTACATATCTATCTACTCCGCTTTAAATTTTAAAACTTTTTACGTTTTCTAGTTTCTTAATCGCCGCACCACATAATTCCGGATCCGCACCCAGTACATCAATGCAGAGTGACGACAATTTTGTTATGCAACATCGAAATGACACATTTGAACAGATCCTGATGCCTGAACAAGAAATTGAAGAAACAGGAATAGACTTGGAGTAATTATCCTCTTTCTTTGTTATCAAGTTATCCTCTAATTTGTAAACATACTATATATTGCACCGTGTGAAAAATTTATTGTCCGGTACGCGATAACCAGGTATATATATGTATGTATACGTATATTGATATAAATATACATAAAATTACTGGTACAATTCTTATATAATATAAAGAAATTTAATTAATGGACTGATGTGTATATATATATACTAAAACTTAAATATATAAAAATTACATTGTGAAAAAAAGACATAAATATTTATATTCTAACATTTAGGTCTGTCTCAGTAATATTTATCCAAATTAAATTAAACTTATTTCTACTTTTGACACTTATGATTTATTTGCATATGATGCGTATACTTTTTAATATTTTTTATGTACTTGTGTTACATTTCTTCATTACCATTATAATATTTTTTGAAAAGATTTACATATTTTATGCCTTTCCGCAGATTTAATTAATTATATTACATTATGTATAATTTCAGAGTTGATGAAGTTTTGGATGATGAAGTTTTACCATCATTTGAGTTGTTGGAAAATGAAACATTAGGTCTTCTGGATAACTGGTTTCAAAGTGATTTATGAGACCTGCTGTCTGAATAAAAAGATGTTTTACCAAAGAATCTGAATAAACGACACGGATTCCGATAACGGCACAGACAAGCATTATTTTTTTGAGTTGTGACAGTGTTCTTCTCGGGGTGCAATATGTCAAAATTTACGTAACATTGTATAATATAAAATTAAGGTGCCAGACTAGAGTCTGGCACCTTAAAATTAACAGTGCCAGACTAGAGTCAAGCTCAACAGGGTCTTCTTTTCCCGCTAATTTTTCCAAGCCCGTTCCCTTGGCAGTGGTTTCGCTAGATAGTAGATAGGGACAGTGGACAATCTCGTTAATCCATTCATGCGCGTCACTAATTAGATGAGGCATTTGGCTACTATAATGAGAGTCATAGTTACGACCGCACCGGGGGGTCTGGGGGGGCGGTTAGCCCCCCCAGAATCCTCCCCGTGGTCGGAGTGCGATCAACGTCAGCAGTACTTCCCTTCACGCTAGAATCAGAGCCGACACCGAGGATTTCCCCCTTACAGAGCCCATACCTGACGATTACGTACTCCCGG